GCCACAAGCTGGGCGGCACTTGCGTGAGTACCGGGCCCCGCACCCCCGTCGCTGCTGCAGCCCCGCTTCCTCCTCGCTTCTGCGGGAGCGCTCTTTCCTGCTGCGGATCGGTCCGTTCCTCCGGGCCCCCAGCCGGGGCACCGGCGCTGTGCTTTCCGCTTTCCCACCCGCTGCCGAGGCCAGGATCCCAGGTGGTTTAAATGGAAAAAAAAGTGTAAAGGGGCATCCTGGCGATCCCACCCCCAACCCCCAAACTAAACCTGCGTCGTCCCGGCCCCGGTGCAGAATCAGCGGCAGCCGTAGTGGTTAAAGCAAACGCAGCTTTCCTACATCCTCGTTCCTCAGGGTGGACGAGTATTGTGTTCCACGCCGGAGCTCATCGCCAGATCCATGCAACCTAAAACTGCATCTGGAAACAGGGCAGCTGGCCCGTGTGTATGGGAGGAGGGGGAGAAGGGGTGTATGTCCTTGAGCAATGCAGTTCCTGGTCCTCGCCCATTTCAAGGGCAGAGTGATTCGCAGCGGTGGTTCTCACCCGTGGCTGCACACTCGAATCACCCGAGGAGTTGAAAAAATTCTTCCTGGGTTCCGCTCCCGTGGCGTCTGATTTCATTGGTCTGTGGTGCAGCCTGGCCGCGAGGGTTTTTAGAAGCTCCGTAGGCGATTCCTAATTTCAGCCAAGGCCGAGAACCACTGACCCAGGTTACCTCGATGTAGGAATTTTACTAGTAAATGAATTCTCAGACCTTGTGCTTGTTTTGTCTTTTGGGGGGCCCGGGGATTTTAAAACTACCCCCCCAAAAAGAGGGTTGTAAATTCTGCAATTAAGAAACTGTTCATCATTTTTAAAAAGTTTTGTCCCCAAGTGATTGGCGTGGCTCTATCACAAGACTTGATTGAGTGAGGTACTTGCTGTTACTATTAAAATGTCTCCAAGATTAACCTGGGACTGGGCATGGGTTCTCTGAAGTCCCTTTGGATACTGATGTTTACGTTGTACTAAGTTGGGAACCCCTTAAGGGCAGGGATGGGTTCCTGTGTTTGTGCACCGCTTATCATCTTAACAAAATACCTTACTCAATAACTGTATGTGAAATGAATGAAACTCAATATTGACAGCTATGAAAGGGCCGACTCCTTTGTCCAGTCCTCATTTTCCAAGTTCAAAATGAAAGTGGGAATGAGAAAAGAAAAAAAAAATCCCTGTTAATTATCAACTTGCACCTTGACACCTTATTCCTGAGAAACTGAATTAGCAGAAGTCTGTCTCTGCAGAAAAGCAGATTGAAGGGTGCCACTAAGAGGCCCCCTGGACAACTTGATAACTGCTCATCTTTGTACCCCATTACTTTTCTCCTTCCTTATTTTTGGCACAGTCAGCTTGTGGCGTTCCTCCGCATTGTCTGGTTCTATTGGAATTAATCAAAAAGGGACTGACCCATTTTTAGGTTCCTGTTAGTAATGTGAACACACTAAGAGATAAACTGCCTCTGAGAGTGAACCAAGGACAGCTCAGGACAGTCAGTACGTTACTGCTTTCATGTAGATCGCCTGGCCTTTCTTATCTCCTATTACAGCAACTTTTATTTTTCTGTAAGCCAGCGGTTCTCAATCTGTGGGTCGCGACCCCTTTGGCAGTTGAACGACCCTTTCACAGGGGTCGCCTAAGACCATCCTGCATATCAGATATTTACATTACGATTCATAACAGTAGCAACATTACAGTTACGAAGTAGCAAGAAAATAATTTTATGGTTGGGTCACAACATGAGGGACTGTGTTTAAAGGGCCAGAAGATTGAGAACCACTACTGTAAGCGTTGATGTTTTGGGGAAATCCCCAATTTAACATTTTCAAACTGACTTTTGTACAAGGAAGGGTGTTGGTATGTGTTGAATATGAGAGAAGATATAACCCATAGATAAGATAGGAGTTCAGATTCCAGATATCTGGGTTATCCTCAGTTGCAAAAATAAGCTTCTTACGTGCAGGAATTTCCAAGCAGGTGTAGGCAAACTTAAGGCTTTCTGAGGCAAATTATTTCGTTTGTTCATGTTTTCATTGTTTTGAATTCTAAGTGCTAAGTATTTGGAGGGGGCTGGCTGAGAGAAAAGGGTAGGTAGATACAGATATTTGGAGACAAAGGTCCCTTCCATGAAGGAATTTACAATATAGTTGGGGAACAAAGGGTAGACAGTCAACCCCAAAGTGAGGTGGACTATATTAATTGCTACAGTAATAAATTACTGTTGAGAGAAGAGTTATAATTAATCATTTCTGCCTGGGAAACATGGGGTGGTTTTGTGAGGAGATAGTATCTTTCTGAACTTGAACAGATGAATATGTGGATGAATATTTTTTGTGAGGGTAGAGTAAGGGCAAAAGCCTAGAGCCAGTGAATGTTGTATAATCGAATTTAACTGGAGCAGAGGGTGTCTTTAGTTGAAAAGATGGGAAGCTAATGGGTAATGGCGGTGGTAAAAAATGTGGATTTTTGGTGTGCCCTGGCTGGGTAGCTCCGTTGGTTAGAGCATCATCTGATAGCCCCAGGCTGTGGGTTCAATTCCGGGTCCAGTAACCGGAAAAGGATTGGGCCTGGAACAGGTCTGCCTGGTGTGGGCTCGTAGTGTGTGGGTTCTTGACTTCATGCAGGAAAGATTTCACAATATCAATACCAGTCCAAGTGATTTTGAGAGTACGTTTATTAAAGCTGGAGACGGTGAAACGAGGAAGGCCTTAGGATAGAAGACGCAGCAGAGAGAGAGCCTCGGAGGGGCT